TTTCCAAAAGAAACTGATTAATAATCATCCCTACCACTTCTGAATACAATGAACACCCAAAATGCAGAGAGTATTAAGCCAAAATAAAAACTCTTTAACACCATAACAATTTTTAATCTCTCCGATTCTTGAAATATATTTGTGATATGTGAGACAGTTCCTTCTTTCATACATTTCTCTGACTCTAATATATCATATAACAAACAGCATGTGAAGATGAAGAATAGGCAAGTTATAACATGCAAATTTGTAATCTATATGAATCTAATTTTCTCATCCGTTTATTTCCATATTATGAAATGACAAAATTGATCTTCATGAATGCAGTAATTATAACTTTCCTTGTGCATTGTTACTTTACAGTTAAAGCAACACTTGCATTGTACATCTTTTATAAATTTACCTTCCATGGAGTATTTGCCAAGACAATCCAGACATATTTATGCTCAGAACAAAAACTAAGAATTATTATTTGGGTGTCACATAATTTCCTGAATTATCAACTCTCATTGCATTTTTCTTTCTCTCTTTTCATGACTGAGGAAGACTTTCAAGATGGCTATAATCACAATTACGCACTTAATATTATCTCAGTTGGCGTGTGAGAATGCATCTTTCTTTTATAACATTGGCTACAAACTGTAAATATAATTAAGAATAAAAATTACTTACTACCAGTATAAATTGCATGATATATAGTTTACTTTTTTACATTTCTTTGCATTGCATATTTTGTAACATCCAACTATTAATCAGAAAAATTCCAAATTCTAGACCTCTTTCCAACTTCTAGCACTCGCTCAGAAGTATTCACGAAATATATGACATTTCAAGCCAAGAAATGTCCAGCTTATTTACATACATGTTTTCCAATGCATATGCATAGTAAAATTCAAACCGATACTCCCAAGACAACTTTGTGCCTCTTTCTCTTCAAAAATACAAGCTTATGCTAGCCTGATGGAAGAGTCAGGTAAATATATATGTCATTAATAATCTACAGTATTATCAAAATGTTTTATCTTTTCCTTTTTCTTACAAATGTTCAGCAATACTTTATTTACATTAATATTCATAAATATAATATATGACACCAAGAGAAAGACAAATCAAAGATAAGATGAAATCAAATGCATCAACATAACTTCTGGAGAAACTTAAAAGAAAACCCCACTACAATGTACTCTATGTAACACTAGAAAACTAAATATCACCACAGAACTCAATGCTAGGACTAGTACAGACACTATTCCTACATCTTAGTGAATCCCTATATCTGTTTTAACTATCTAATAAAGCTCATTTAATGAAAGAAGAACTAGCTTTTTGGTCTATTAGAAAGTTGTTGTTTTTCAGTTGCAACCAGCTCTAGAATCGTCTTGGAATTATCTTTGTATATATCTATATTTACATTTCCAATAAATTGGTGAAAACTTGGCATGATGGACAGCATCTAGTGTAAAGAAAGTTCTGTTATCAACCTATGGAGCCATACACCCTCAATATACAGTTTAGATGCATTTGATGTATATATTCTACCTCCGGCCAAATTGAAAAGGAATCTATCAAGAGGAAGGGAAGTGTATTTATGTGATAAATAAGAGATAAGAAGGCATTCTTCTTTTGCCTTGCCTTTTCTAAAATTAATGTTTACTTGAAGAAAATTTGGATAGAGCAAGTAAGTTATAAAGGGCAATATATTGATGATATATACCCTGATTTTAATCTTTACTCTTCAAAATATTCTGATTTTCTTTATTCTGCAAACTTACACAGCTACTTCAAGACAAACACATAAACACACATTAGCCATCCCTAACCCCTGTGGACTAAAACACCTTTTAATCTGAAAAGAATGACTCATAAATAAATCTTCCCTTTACAACTTTAGCCAGCCTTTATGTATCTGATTTCTTGACTTCACATTTCTTTTAACACAAGGATTTAAATTACTGTTCTCTCTTCAATCATGATCATTATTTTACTTCAAAGCTTCCTGGTATACATATTTTTGAATCAACGCCCATCTCAAATATATACATTTCACAGTCCATCCGTTTATCTATCTGTAATCATATATATACATTTTGCACGGTTAATTGATCCAACTATGTCAGTAATCAGTAATTTCACCAGAAAAAAACTAGTTCTACTTTACTAATGCACTGCTACCCATGCTCACTATGAGGAAAATTCTTCTAAGTCGAGGAATAAGGCGGTTCCCTAAGATTAGAAAGGGCCGTGCGACGACACCCGGTGCTCGCCTGAGCTCCTGCATCACTGCATCCACAATGTTGTCCACCTCTGCCATGGCCCCCAGGCCAACATCCCCACATGCCAGCCGTTTGCTCTATTCACACACACTTCTATGTAGCCCAATTCCTGGTGTGAGAGATGAGATAGAGAAAGGAAGTTATTACATTTCAAAAAATATAGAGAAGCTTATAGACAGGATTTCTTTTCATTACTAATATCCTGGTTTTCTCATCTTTACAATGAGTTACATTTTCTGCATATATCTTTGTACGTACGTCTATATTTCTATTTGGACAACAGCAGCAATTGTCTGGGTTTGTTTCTAAAACCTATTTGTATTAGTATTGTGTTCTAGTGCCAATAGTTGTATATCTATGTCTGTGCTGTCTGTCTTCGTCTCTGCATGTGTCCCCCACTCCTAAATCACATCTGACTATTCAAAATGCTATACTCTCACAGTCCTTACCTTAAGAATGGCTGTATGCTTCATGGTAAGAGGGAGTACATATGGGTGTTCATAGCTGGACAAAACACAAGTGGCCTCGAGACATCCCAAGCTCGCACAATACAGGTAAGCAGGTTGTCGCAAAGCCCCTGTGCCATCTTGGCCATGGTGTTGGCATCCAAGGGAGCAATCACAAGGACCTGTGCCCATTCTCGCAGCTGAATGTGGAGCACTGAGTCTCCACGCCCTTGCCAAGCAGACCACTCATCCTCATCCAGCACAAAGTTCAGGTCGGGGTACAATGACTTAAAGGCACTTTTATCGAGGTCCGTCGGTCTGAGAACCTTAGCAGGAGTTCTTGAACCACAGTGGCTACAAATTTCACTGTTAGTAATGTTCATTTCTGCACTGTCGTTACTCTTCTCCCCATTGCCCATGCTCTTGGCCACAGGTTTGAATGCACTTGCCCCCCCTACCCTGAGTGGCCGCTGCATGGCTACGGGGTCTACCTTGGCTTGGCATCGCAGGAAATGGCAGGCACGCTCCGTGGGCACAATGATGACACTAGCTCCACGTTCCTTGAGTCGCCGCGCCAGCTCGGGAACCTTGATAGCAGCCACACTCCCTGTGCAACCCAGGACGATGCGTGGCCCTCCTCGTGGTGCTGGTAGCCAGGACATCTTGAGCACAGCGCTAGAGAAAAACAAGCAGAATGAATATTGTGTAAATCAACACATGAAAAACTAGAAACACAAAATGCAGTTATTTAAATTGTATTAATGTCTATAGACAGAGACATGTATAGCCATTTAATTTGAAAGTATCCTGGAATGCCAAATTTATATCTACTGTAGATATACTTATGAAATGAGATAGTGAGAGAGTGAGTGAGTGAGTAAGTGAGTGAGTGAGTGAGTGATGAGTGAGTGAGTGAGTGAGTGAGTGAGTGAGTGAGTGAGTGAGTGAGTGAGGAGAGGAAGAGAGAGGAGAGAGAGAGAGAGAGAGAGAGAGAGAGAGAAGAAGAGAGAGAGAGAGAGAGAGAAAGAGAGAGAAGAAGGAGAGAAAGAGAAAGAGAGAGAAAGTGTGTGTGTGTGTATGTGTGTGTTGTGTGTGTGTGTGTGTGTGTGTGTGTGTGTGTGTGTGTGTGTGTGTGTGTGTGTGTGTGTGTGTGTTGTGTGTGTGTGTGTGTGTGTGTGTGTGTGTCCATTATATTTATATGTATATATAAGTATAATGGATAATGGTTGAAACAAATAAATGTGCTAGACATCAAAGGTCATATAGCACTATAGTTGAGTAATGTGGCAAAAGTAAAAATGAGTTAACAATTAGGATAAAATGTGTTAAATGTCAAAGGTTAGAAAGTGTTTATAGGGGGAGCAAAAAATATTTAATGTTTAATGTTTGAAACAAATAAATATTGCCAGACATCAGAATAGACTAAGTAAAGTATTGTGTCAAAAGGGTAAAGAGGAGTTCAAGATTAGGATAAAATGTGTTAGATGTCAAAGATTAGAGAGCGTTTGGATAGTAGGTAGTGAAAAGGGAAAAGACGGGAGTAAGTGAAAAGAGCAGAGATTAATAGAATTGGAAGGGTTAAGGGGTAGGGCAATTGAGTGAATTAGTGTATCTCACTAGGGAAGATATAGAACAATGTTCCAGGAAAACAGAGATGACTATTGGAAAAGTAGGAAAAGAATCCAGGGGGAGGGGGGGGGGGTTAGATGTCAAAGATTAGAGGGTGTTATAGGAAAGTATGGTAGTGAAAAGGGAAAGAGGGAAGTAAATGAGGTAGAGCAGGGATTAGTAAAATGGGAAAGGTTAAGGGGGTAGAGCGATTGAATGAACTGCATTGTATTTGTGATTGGGGAAGAATAGGGACATTGTTCAAGGAAAACAGGTGGCTGCTGGAAAAGTAGGAGGAGAAGAATCCGCGGGATGAGAAATGGGGACTGGGGAAGGGGTGAAGTATCAGGGAAGAATGTCTAGGGGAAGGGTCTGGAGAAGGACACTATTGTGATAGAGGGATTCGTGTGAGTATTCAAGTGGGAGTAGATAGGGGGGTATGTTGGGAGGGTGTTGGAGGAAGAGGGGTGGAGGGAACTTGAGGAAAGGAAGATGGATATCTCCAAATACTTTATATGTAGAAGGAGTAGAAATCAGAGGGATCGAGGGGGTGGATGAGGAGCGGAGTCTTCCCTTGGGTACCTTTAGGAAGTTTTGGATGTCTTCAAGGGTTTCAGGAGGGGTGTTGGGTGAAAAGGAGTGAGAAACAAATTTCTTTTGTGAGGAGGAGAAGAGGAGATAGATATCTGAGGAGTAGAAGAAGAAGGTGTAAGAAGGATGTAGTAGGAGGTGTAGTGAACGTTTAGGTTGCCTGGTGGGACAAATAATAGTAAGGAGAGGGCAGGTATTGGAGAAGTGGTAGAAATTGGAGTATCTGGATTTAGACTGGAAATCAAATTTGACTGGGTATAGAGTGAGTAGAGGTAGGATGGTTTAGGGTATATGGAAGAGATACTGGGGGAGATGCAGAAACATCTTGTGAGATGGTGGGGGAGTAGAGCAAAAGACTGTTATGGAATAAGTTGAGAGAGAAAAACCTCGTCATCGTGCTTCTTGTCTGGCCTCACATAGTGTGAGGCCTAGTTTTGAATCTGAGGACTGCTACCTCACATTCGAGCTTATAGGCAGGGCAGTTCTATAAAATACTATTATGGGAGTCTCCATAATTGGCACATGTACGTGACTGAGCCAGCCAATCAGAACGGTCATGACCAGGTTGGGCACATACAGGGCAGTAGGCTGTGGAAGGACAGTGTTTGGCTGGGTGGCCAAAATGCCAACCTTTCTGACGTTGACAAGGAAGGAGTCGATATTCTCGGACATGATAAAACAATCCACCAATGTAAACATCATGGAGAGGTCTTGTCTACGGAAGCAAATCTTGCAATATTGACGTGAGACTTACGCTGGCCTCTGGGAGGAATTTGAATAACACTACTGGCACTGCATCATATTCACCAAGGCAGGAGAGTAGGTCACTTTTCCCAGTCTGACCTGTCCTTGTCATACATGGGACAAGCATTTGGGGGAATAGAAACAGTTCCAGTACAAGTATTAAGAGAGGTGAGGTTCGGCAGGAAATGGGTTTGCAGGAAGGTCAGTTACGGTAGACAGGCATGAGCTTGGGATTTAAATGATGTAACTGTGACAAGGTTTAGAATAGGAACTGTGGGAGAGAATCACAAAGAATTGATCCCACTTGGCTGGGCTAAAGAGAGTACTCAGAAGGTTTGCAGAGCAGAGGCAGTAGAAGGACGAGGGTGAGAAGAAGATTTGTAATATTGTATAAAGATAGGACAGATAGATAGAGAGAGACAAATTGATAAAGATAGATAGGAAAAATAGATAGATGGATTGACAGATGGATATTGATACACTACCACAATATCAAGAAAATAAAAAACTTGACATTTTGAGCTCGTCAAAAGTTGTTTTTTTTATTACATAGAAGTAGGAACTCTTGACAAGTTCAGAACATGATGTTTTCATTCTGCTTATAATGTGACGATGTTTCATTTCATATTCATGTACACATCAAATGTTTGTTTTTTGGCATTAAAACTTGAATATAATAAACAATTATGCTTTACCAACGGAACTAACTTCACTCTCAAGCCTAGTTTTCTTCCTTCACGATGACTCTACTTTGCTGCCGGCTAGATCAGAAAATCCAAGCTTACTCCACTCTTCCTTGGCCATTAGACCTTTCTCCATGCGGCAACCCAAGTAGTCACGGGATGCCTCTCTGCACTTCTCATTCTGGTTTTGGTTCTCACGTAAACATAACATGTACCTGCAAGAGAGTTGTCAACTATATGCTGGGAATGGGATGTTTGGATGTTGTGTGAATGGTGAAGGTGGGTCTGTCAAAATAAACAATTATGTTCTTTTTTTAAGTCCTGTTCAGACAAGGATATAGTATTAAATCTGAATAGTGGGAGGGGTCTCAAAATAAACACTTTTGTTCTTTTTGAAGTCTTGTTTGGAGAAGAGATAAATTATTCATAGGCAATCCTTTGCTACCATATATAAAAACATAGTTTTATAATAATGCTGTTTCTATTTCCCAAGATTTCCAGGGCCTGATTATCAAATATCTTAACTTTATACACAAAGGTTTACTCATGCAATTAATCCATTTAGTTTCAATATCACTACCTTTTAATTTTTGTTTTTCAAAGTGCTGTGACTGAGCAATCAGGTTTTTTATTAATACAACTCAGGAAATTATCAATCATACATAAATTTAAGCTTAATGAGATCTGTGCAACTAATATATGGTGCATAAAATACAACAAAAAATGGAAGTCCCTGAAATCCACTTTTTGTGTCATTTAAGACAAGATACGCATGCACTGGAATTCTGATATAATGTTTCTGAACTCCTTAAAACAAAAGCTGTATGTCCCAGTCATGTCATGAGGACAGCAAATACTGTAAGTCACAGTTATCAGATTAAATGTGGTAATCACAAGGTCATAGTGACCTTTAAGAGGAATCAGGAAGAGTCACCATGTAAAAAGAAAATTCAATAAAAATCAACCGTGGATAAACCAAACAAAATGGCATTTACTTTCAATAACAACATATTCCTTTTATATATTATGCTTTGTAACTGCTTACAATGAAAACAAGGGATTTAATGAAAGGAATTATGATACATCCATAATACATCCTTATGAACAGTAATAGAAACGGTGAAATACACATCATACCTCAACAAGCAAAAGGGAATTTTCTTTTCCTTTAAAAAAGATGAAAAAAATCCCAATATTCATTCAAATTCTAACCTTCTTTATTCATTACTCCATCATTCAATATTATAACTTTACCCTTAAGCAACAGTATCTTATCAAAATATACTGTATCATCTCTCGTCTAAGAATTCTAATATCCCACAGTTTTACTTAGAAATCTGACCTAATATCAGTAAGGTCTTCATAATCATAAACATTAAAAAGCAACTGTCAGGCTTTCTGAAGTAGATATAAGAAAAAATCCTGGATTCCCCGCTGACATCTGAAAACTGCATATTTTGGAAACTATGAAAATTTGGAGAAACAATGAAAATAACTAGTGATAAATAGAGTTTCATAAAATCACAATACATCAAGAGATTACCATAATACAGGTTATCTACCTCTCATAAACAAAATTTCATACCAAATTCACAGTTCTCACCAAGAGGATTAATAATTTTCTCTAGTAAAAAGTACTTAGATAATCATTTAGGATATCATCAATATGTAATGAGAGCTGAAAGTATATATAGATTTCTATAGAAATATTTTTAAGCAGAACTAAAAGTTGAGTAACACCAAAACATTGATAAACACAGATGATTTCTCAAAGATCCCTAGTTCTGCATCTACTAGTTGTATTAAATATCAAATATATATCCATTACCATATATATACATATATTATATAAATATATATATAAATATATATATATATATATATATATAATATATATAATATATATAATATATATATATATATATATAGTATATATAATACATATATATATGAAAGATGGAATAATGCACTGTCCGCATTTGATATCATGTATTTATAACCTCTCTGACAGGGATTTGAACCCCCACCGCCATTGCCAAGCATTCACAAGACGGGCACTCTACCCACTGATACACGACCCAACAAAAGAAGTGTGCAGCTAGGAGCTTACTAGCATCCATAGACATTACCTATCTACTCATACATGAGTAAGGATAGCGAGGTTTTACACACACTCCCCGTGGACACTCGGTATATATAGAAAGAGCAGTTCAAATCCCAAATCAGATAACCTGAGGTGTATTCAATGAAAGATGGGTGTTAAATTAATAAAAAATGGGCCTATTTCACAAGCTAGCTGCAGTGAAACGTAAAGTACACTCTGCTCCAGGTAGGACTATATGAAACTGTATGAAAGGATAAAGACATAATTTTTCGTGTGTGAACAACCCAGGTATCCAAATGAAGTCTTTTCCCTGAATCAATTCTATACAAATGTGCTGTCTTTCTACATATCACTAGCAACTTGTTTTTTTTCTCTCTCTCTTTCTCTTTCTAATAATAACAATCACAATGCTGACTATTGAGAAACTATTTCCAGTAACTTCAATTCTATAAACATCATCTTCTTTTCTTTAATCTCATCTTGGTTTAAAAGGAATTTGTATAGCTATAACCTAACTTCTCTTTTACTTCAATATTTAATCTAAGGCGATCTCTATTTTGCTGAGGGAATAAAATTCAAAACTTTCAGATGAATTCTTTTTTGAGTAATTTGGGTAATTTTTCACAGCTTTATGACACTAACATTTCAAAAGACATGAACCATGCCTAGTAATATTTTGATTTCCTGTTTTACAATCTCTTTTCCTCTCTTTCTTTTTGGTTGGCAGTGGGAGGATTCCTTCTGTTTTCTATAAATATCATTAACCCACTTATGATGGGAACTCCTGGCACCATACCAAACCATGCGCCAGGGATAAAATAGAAACATGGAAAATAAATTCATCCAATTCTGTATGTTCCTGGCTGCATAATAAACTGCTTTAAGACTACTTCTGAGGGGGCTTTTCCTCAGCCAGGGCCCAACTAGTGAATAACTGTTTGGCACACACAACCTAGAGCTGTCTTGATAATATGATATGATATGATATGAGATGTAATTCTGACATGATGCCTACCATGATGGATGTCAACCCATCAAAGATGGGCTACACAGGGGCTTCCTCTGCATTTTTTCTTACCATTACTGTACCTTTTAACCTTTTATTAGGTCATTTTATCAGATTAGAAAATTCAGTTCTTTTTTTTCTGGTATCTTTTTGTTTTTTGTTTTCATCAGCTTGCCTATGAAGTTTCAGGTAAATCAACATGTGTCACACATGTTGATTTCCGAGTCTTCCAACCATAATTTTCAAATTTACCTATTCAGATTTAGTATACCCTTAAACATTTACCATCCATGTTTACATTGGAAAATTTATACACTAACATTACATGAAATCTAAGACATTATCCCTGATTTTCAAAGAGAATCGTCCAACAATACTTATCACTGCTTCAGTTTGCAGAGGTATCATATGCTTTACTTTCACTCTCCTATCAAGAGAAATTAGTCAGAAAAGGCAAGGTCAGGTACTCATGCAAGTCACATATACACTGACAACATAAGTTTTAGGATGTGCAGGTGATCTTTGAGTGATAATTCTCTTAATGT